GCGCCGCGGTCCTGGTAGTTCAAGGGCAGGGTCTGAGGCCGGGCGTAGTAGTAGGGAGTTGAGTGCGCATCTCTCGGTAAGGCCTGAGCGAACAGCGCGGCGTAGCTGGAAACCTGAAGACAAGAGGCGTCACGAATGCAGAGACGTGAACGACAGGACCCCTCCCCAAGCTGACAAAGACCATGTACACTCAGACTGCCGTCCTACTCTGGCGCCGCACTTGTGCAGGTACACCGCAGGGATGCTGTGCGCGCAGTTCCAAAACTCCCTGCGAGAGCACTGCAAGTCACGGTTTGCGGTTTCCTGGGCATATGAATGACATGCTCACACTACACCGCAGTCCAGCAAATGTGCAACAGCACTGTGTCTAAAAACCGATGGACACGCCGTCATTAAAAAAATACCTGATTGCCTAAAAACGCTCACCATCAGCTGACAATGCGGGATTGCCAGACTTTCAATGTGTGAAGGACACAGTGTGCATGAAGCATGACAAAACAAGGTCTGCCTGTATTTGTTAAACGGCAAATTAGTTACCGCACTTTTAAAGTGTGCCTGATCCGATTAAGTGTCAGAAAGGTTTCCCGCGTGGTCTGATAGCTAAACACTGTTTCAGAAAAACTAAGACTCGGCACTCAAGCACTTTTAGAAGTCTGGCGTCACTATGTAATGAAAGAGTGCTCGCTACTCAGACTAAAGCCACATATGGCTTCCACCCCCATTCTTCAGCTTCTTAAACACGGACATTTCTGCAGTGGAGTCTGTTATCAACCAGACCGTCCGGGACTCGGAGCAGCAGCACAGCCGCCCCTTCCACCCCTGCACGGGTCAAAACTTAAACCCGCCGACGCCCAAGTTCTCGCTGGTGTGACAGAACTTAACGCTCATAAGGATATCTGGAAACACAAGACAATCCTAGAAGGTTTTCTAATTCAAAGAATAACAAAGCTGTGCTGATGTTAATTTTACACAGCAAAAATTCTGAAAAGTGAGTTTATGCTCTATTTAATCAGACATGGTTACATCTAACAAGCTTCTCAAAAACATCTTAAGGAAACACAGCATGCGGACTGAAACGCCCTTAAAAACAAAAGAAGAAAAAAGAAGAATCTCTCGAGCCACCACAACTGCCCAGAAAGCCGGACACGTGTTTTGGCTTTTCTCACGTTATCTTAGGTACTGACACCAGCTCCGGTCAGTGCGGGACACCCGTCCCAACAAGGGGCACCACACGTGCTTTCCGAAGGCCTCCAGCTTTGCACACAGCCGCTCACCTTGCTTGGCTGCCTGCGAGGGTCTTCACTAAGGCTGAGCAGGAGGTAGAGAATTGACCACTTATTTTTCAAAACTCCCTGTGTAGAAAGAAAACAGTAAAAGAACAGCTTCGTACCCCTCCCCAGTTCCATCTTCCTCTCTCCTAAATGATCCTGTTTCCAAACAGGAACACGCTGTGAAACCTGCCTGGCAGCGTTCACACGAGGCACTCGAACAGCGCTCCCCGTCAGGAGACTACAGGCTGTTCTCCAGAGGTCAGTGCCCTTGGACCCTTTAAGCCCCTAAATCCAACTCCAAAGCCCCAACAAGGACATGTGTAAGCTGCCCTAGTCCTGAGTAGCGGTATTTCCACTCTGAGCTAATTCTTATAGTAACCGACCTCCCAGACACCGTGATTCTAAGAAAAATGGCATCACAAAATACACGAGTAGCTTTTCTAAAGTCTGCGATGCGGGCGTCAGCACCACGCCTTCCTGGGAACCTCACGGCTCCAAAGCACTGAGATGTCGGGGTGATAACCCGCAGGTCTGGGTGTCAGGTCACCATCAAATGTGTGTCACTCTGCCCTGATGCACAGCCATTAACAGAGCTCACCCCCAACGCGCTTCACCCCAAATTTACGGAGCGTTCTGCTTTGCTCACGCGATCTTACCTTTCCGCTGCACAGGCTGGAAAACACAAATGCCTTTATTCACAAAGCAATTTATGGGATAGCTACTCACATTACACAAGTACCTCATCATACGTATGAAATATTCCTCGAAAGTTTCTTCAGTGAATAAGCTCCTTCCAGGTATTTAAACTACGGTCTAACTTGAGGATTTTTCAGAAACAACAAGCTCCATGGCTGGGACAAGAGCAAGAAAGGAGGGGGCCAGCCCTGACGGAGCCCCCGTCCAGAGGGACCCAGGCACACAGGCAAATGCACTCTGGCAAGACAAGTCACGCCTCCAGACACAGGGCCACTCAGTGTCCAGGCTCATGCAAGGACCCCCAGAGGAGACAGCAGCCTGGGCTCCTTTCTAGTCCGAATAACAGACATCTCACCCCAGCGTTCAGCTAGGTTACTGGAGTGAAGGCCAGCAGAGTCTTTTGTAAAAATAACGGGTCAGGAAAACCACCTGAGCATCAACATCCAGTCACAAAACAGTCGAGTCATGTTTTCTAAGTTATTCGCTGAAACAGGACAAACAAGAAGCTGATGAACAATCAGGTGGATCAACATGTAAGCCTGTGCTGTCGTGCAGACAAGCCGAGGCCCCTACGGCGTGCCTCCTCCCAGGAAGGGACCAAGGCTTCACTGGCCCACAGTCCCCTGCACGCGTCTGACACTCTCCTGGGGGCCCCACCGGCTTTATCAGCCATTCAGCGCTCAGCCCAGCTAAACTGACTTCTAACATTGAGCATCCTTGAAAAAGCAACACCATCTACAATTGAAAGCCGTTACCCGATACAGAAAAGGTTACAGCATTCCCAGATCACACTAACAGCCTCGCCAATGGCAGAGCGGCTTCCAGGACACTCCAGCGGTACCTGTGAATGGAGTTTTCTGTGCAGCTCGGAAAATAAGGCAGCATCTGCTTCTCTTCTCTGGCGGATAACTGAAAACGCAGAAAATAAGCATGTCAATCACCAAAATTTGTGTTTACGATATGATTTCACCTATAGTGACAGGTAACTCTGAAGTCTGAAAAGAATCCTGAGCTTAAGAATCCAAGTAACTAGACAGCGTCCCTGTGTCTAGCTACGCCGGGTACCAGCCAGACACAGCGTCCCCGCAGCTCACTACGCCAGGTACCAGCCAGACACAGCATCCCTGCGGCTCGCTACACCGGGTACCAGCCAGACACAGCGTCCCCGCGGCTCGCTACTCCAGGTAATAACCAGACAGTGTCACCGCAGCTCACTACATCCAGCGGGTCAGTTCATGTGAGCTTGCCGAGGTTCATAAAGTACAGACTAAATCAGGGTGGAATCAAAGAGTTTACGTGAAGGTTAGTAAAGTAACAGAAACGATGGGATCTTTCAGACTCTGTCTATAGATAGAAATGAACAGCCCAGGAAGGCAAACTACCAGTTTAACCAGTTAGTAAAGGCCACCTGGAGGGAGGGATGGGCAGTGACACTATCTTTGGACTCCTAACCCCAAAAGGCAGTAACAGGTGCACCACGGATGCCAGTGGCTCCACCACACATTCTGAGCATCTGTTAACACTCACAGCAACGTTCCGTCTTGTTTTAGTGTAAGACGTGATACTGTTTCAAAATCGAAATCAAAACAGCTTATTGCTCATCTTCACCCACCGCGTTCCAGGGCTGCCTCACACATTCTCCAAAGGCCGCAAAAGGGACTGCACGCTGGATCTGGGCCCCGGGGCAGACCCGCTCACCCACACCAACAGCACTGCGCCTCCACCTGTGCACACAGGGGCCTCTCGAAGGACTCCTGTTACAGTCTCGAGAACAGGCACCCCTTCAGAAGCTGGCTACAGCCTCAGCGGTCTCCAGGGAATCTCTGTGTTCCCTTATCCCCGTGCAGTAGGACTGTCTTCTCACAATCTCGTCAGCCAAGCTCACTGAGTTAAATGTTCCAATTCTCCTGCAGAAAGACAAGACTGATGTGACAGCCACGTTCAGACTCGTTGGCTAGGACAGGGTCCTGGTACCGTGCGCTGACCACAGGGACCACACGCCAGTGACAGCATCCCGGTCACGTCTGTCCTCCCACGCCCTCCAACACAGAGCGGGGAAGCTGCCTCTAAAATGCCCACTGCTGGGCGCATCCAACAAAACCACGTGTTAAGAATTCAATATAATTTACTCTTAGATGTTCTTTCCATAGAATGAGACTGATTCGAATTCATAGACATAAAAGTCACAAGACAACAAAATGTAAAAATAATAAGAATAAAAGTGAACACAGAATATTTACCTAGATGATGTTAACAGATTGCTAAATAAAGCAAGACAGAGAGCGTTGCCTCCACTTCCCTTTATTTCCTAATGCTTTCATTTTACTTTGTGTTTCAGCAGTGAAGTTAATTCACATAGTTTTTAGAGACACTTCCAATAATCAGAAACAAGACCACATCAACTTTACTTTCTTTCTTTAAAATCCTTTTTACGTTTTACTTGGGCTTCTCACTAATCATCTAAAGTGTGAAATAACCCAAAGCCTAGAACATAAAAATACCCTAAGATGTGTCATCATCAGGGAGCAGGGTTTTACAGACAAGAAGGGAACACATGGTAGGACAGACCCTCTGTTCTCACCGTCCCCCTTCAGCACACACGTGCCCAGTCACCCCGAGATCTGACTCATCTCAGCAGATGCCTAGTCCTGCCCCGCGCATCGAGCTGCCACCAGATCCAAGCTCGCACAGCCACAGTCATGCCACTCCGCTGCCCCGGCCCCGCTCAGGTGCACGCCCCGCTCGGGACAGCACGCAGGGGACAGCCCGCAGACGCTGGGCAAACGCAGTTAATGATGCAGCCGCCCGGTGGGGGGAGACCATGCCGAGAAGAACGAGCTCCTAGAGTCACTCCGCTCTGCGACAGCCAGGCCCGCAGGGAGATGGCACTGGATGCCTCTCAGGCACTGGCGCTGGCTCACTCTGTCCAGGGAACCAAGGCAGGGGAAGCAGCCCCGGAGCCATCCTCACAGGCGGGTCCCTCCCTCAGGACCCCCAGACACGGAGGGGCAGCAGAGCCCACCTGACACAGTCAGAGAACCATCAGCCACCAGGCCTTTAAGGTAACAGTGTTTAAGAAAGCTCTCAGTACCATCCCAGAATGAAAACGCCCAAGTCCCAAAGTCCTGAAGTTTGCATGGGACCATCAAGAGTAGTAAGGCTTGACTCACCAAGCGCCGTTTAACTGCCAAGGTAACGTCTGTGTTACCTGGTCAAAGGTGGCTATTCTGGGGGCATTAGGGTTGCCTGTCTGTTTGTTTATTTAGTGGAGGCACTGGGGAGCGAATGCGCTCTGCCCCTGAGCTAACCCTCCCCCCCGAAAGGTGACCATTCAGCACTGCAAATCACAAGACGAGCAGGGAGTTACATTAAGCCCTTTCATCTTCCTCACATGCTTAAACCTAATTATGTCGTTACAATAGTATCTAACACAAGCTCCTCTCACTGTCTTCTTTTAAAAGAACTCAGTTGCCCTTGCTTGTAATTTTTATTACATATGTAACAGCACCTGTAGTTAGAACGCGCCTGGGAACACATACATGCACGTATACAGACATGCGCACCTTAACTTTGACAAGCTTAAGAATGCAACACACACTAACATGTAAGAAAAATACATACGTTCTTTCTTGATTTTTTCAGCAACTAGAAATTCATCTCTTTCGACAGTTGGGGCAAAGTTGCTGCCAATGACCCGCACCGCGTACTGGAACTGCTGGGCCACGTCAGCTGAAAGGCAAATAAAAGGTTGCAAGTTACTGCCCATCAGATTAGGATTTGATCACCTGAAGCTTCCATTCAAGACGGGACTGGGCACATGCACCCACCATCCCCCGTCCCAGTCTTCACTGAGGGCAGAAGAGCCACTCAGAAAACACGGTGAGCAACGAGTGAGCAGAGTAACAGTTTTACAGAGTGAGAAAGGGAGACAGCCACGGCCAGAGAGTCTGCAGACCCCCAGGAGACAACGCTGGGCTGATAATCACAAAAAAGGAGCGGGAACCCTCACAGCCCTGATCGTGCTCGCGGGAAGTGGGCCCGGGCAGAGGCTCCGAGAGGCTCTGGTCCCCTCACACGCCAGAGGGGCTGTGAGCACTCCAAACAGGCAGTGAGTTTATGAAACAACACGTTTGCTCTTCCAGACAGACGAGGCTTAAACACAGGCGTCTGCCTCCACTCCTGTCAAAGTCCCCACGGAACTTAGAGAATAAGGGAGCTTTTCTCCCCCTTAAGGCATAAGCCTACGAGGGCAAAGAAAGCAAGGCAGAAGCAACACAAAGAGAATCACCAAGCCAGAGAGGCTGAGAAGGAAGCACTGGGTGGGACGGGGTCAGGTCGGCGACTCCTGAAGCGTGGGGACAGACGCCAGGAAGGAAACAGCTCCCTCGGTGCAGGTCCAGGGAGGCTTCAGAAACGAGGGGACCGGCACCGCAGAAGATGCGGATGATGGGGCAGGAGGACCCCTGCCCCGCCCCACCCCCACAGCCCGACAGCTGCAGACTGGGCCACCCCCAGCCCGCCCTGGCCTCCAGGACAGCACAGACGTGAAGTAAAAGCAGCAGGCAGAACTCAGGACCCAGCCCTCCTTCCTGGACACTGGGAGTCAAAATCCTACAGGAGATGCTAGCAAAGCTCGGCACCCGCCTCTGCCTCCTGGGGAAGCACATCTGCTCGCTACGCCCAGAGAACCGTCAACAAGCTAAAACCGCAGGCATGCTGTCCCCCAGGCTCCACCATGAGACGTCCCCTTCCCAGGGTGGGAAAGATGAGTGAAGAGGAAGTGAGCAGGGATACAGACCTGAGCCCCGGAACCACCAGCGGAGCCTCGCTGAGACTCACAGAACAGCCCAGCCTCAACAAAAGAACACTCCTCTCTCCAAACCAACATGCAATGCTCATCAAGACAGACTGTGTTTGACATAGAAAACAAACATGGTCATGGGGGAAAGGAGGTGGGAAGGGATAAGTGAGGGATAAACTGGGAGGTCGAGATCTGCAGGTACTAACTACTATACATAAAGTAGACAAACAAGGGCCTACTGTACAGCGCAGGGAACTATATTCATTATCTTGTAGTAGCCTATAATGAAAAAGAACGTGAAAACAAAGATATGTATATATACGTATGGCTGAAACATGATGCTGGACACCAGAAATTAACAGTCAGTGTAACTGACTATACTTCAATTTAGGGGAAAAAACAGACAGACCGTGTTTGAGAGGTCACAAAATAAAACTTCCTAAATATAACTAAAATTACTCAAATATGTCCTCTATAAATAACTGAATTAAAAACCAGAAATCATAACAGAATATCTGGAAAATCTTCAAATACTGGAATTGAATCGACATACTCCTATACAATATAATGTCCAGAGAAAGTCTCAAAGGAAACTGGAAAATATCTTGAACTGAATGAGAATGAAAATACAACACATTAAAATACGTGAGACACAGTTAAAGTAGTGTTTACAGGGAAATTTATAGTAGAAAATGCTTTCATCAGAAAGGAAGATGGGTCTCAAATCAATAATCTCAGCTTACACAATAAAACCTAGAAATCAAAGAAAGCAAACTAAATTCAAAGTATTAGGACATAATAACAACCACAGCAGAAATCAATGAAATTTAAAACAAAACCGGGGGAAAGAAATCAATGAAATTGAAAGCTGGTTCTTCAAAAAATTCAACAGAATTGGTAAACATAAATTTGTCACCAGCAAAAACAAAAAAAGACACAAATTAAAGAATGAAAGAGGTGATACTACCACTGATCCCAAAGAAATTTTTAAAAACTAACAGCTAAGTAATTGGTGTAAATGCCCCCCCTCAAGGGGTGGCTGAAACCCAGGGCCCACCCCCGAAGCCCGGCAGCTCCTCCCCAAGCGCAGGCGCAGGGGGGGGGCCTGGGCAGCCGGGACCTGCAGACCCCCCCGCCAGGTGCGAGGAGTCGTGCGGACAGCGTGCACCCGGGGTCCCCCGCGACCAGAGGGTGCAGAGACTCCACCGTGGTGTCTTCCTCCCAAACACACAGATCCCAGTACAACCATGAGAAAACACCATGCTGATCCCACTGAGACATTCTACAGAATACCTGACTTTCAATACTCAAAACTGTCAAGGTCATCAAAACAATAATTTGTAAAGTCTGAGAAACTGTCAGAGCCAACAGGAGCCCAAGGAGACACAGCAAAGGTAACATGGTTCCCTGGGTGGGACCCGAGACCAGTAAAGGACGTTAATCAGGAGATAACGAGGATATGTGAATAAAGCAGGAAGCTGAGTTAACACCGCGTGTTGCTACTGACCCCTTCACTGTAGCAAACACGCCACGCTAACGTAGGACGCCAGCAACAGAGGAGTGCGCGTGGGGACACGCGGCTCCGTGGCATCATCACATGTAATGGGCCTGCGGTATCAGTATTTTTTTTAAAGATCTGTTTGAAGATTTTAGCCTTAAAGATGAGATAAAGCAACTTAAATGTGGGGGAGAAAAAGGAATTTTGGTAAACTCAAAAAAGAATCCCAACCTACACCAACACGGCCCTCTGGCTGCAGAGTAGAAGACAAACTAGAGGAGGCGCAGAGCCAGGCCAGAGGCGCAGTGGGGCTGTGGCATCCATCCCCGTACCTGCAGGCCCCACAGGACACTCAGACGCAGGCCCAACAGTTTGAGGGGAAAGACAGCCGCCTCCTGTATCCCACAGGCGTCGTCCTTATGTTCAGGTCAAAGACATCAACTGAACTCAAAGGGGCACAGAAACAAGTGAGCAGAGAATCTCTACAGGGGGGTGCGGCCCCGGAAGGCGGAAAGTGACGGAAGGCGAATGATTAAGTCATTGGTTTCCGCCTTCCTGCATCACCTCCCATGTGGGCTTGTATGTACACGTGGCAGGGACAGCAGGACAGTGAGCTGAACCCCAGCCCCAGCCCCGAAGCGGGCCAGAATGACTGCGGGTTTAGGATTTCAGACGCCGAGCTCCAAGGGACCTCCAGGATCAGAATCTCTGGAAACAGGGCCCATGATATCAATTTTGAATAAGTACCGCATTTAGAGAATTCAAAATGAGAAGGTGAAACATCAGATACAGTAAAAAGCCTTCCCCCCAACCACTGCCCAGCCACCAGCTCCCCGCGCCGCGAGCAGCCAGGGCAGTCAGGTTCTGTGAAGCCGCAGGCAGTTCTGATGCAAAGCTCTAGGTGCAACGCAATGCTCTAAAACAAAGCACTGCCCTAGATTTGTAGTTCTCAAACTCTTTGGTCTCAGGCCCCCTTTACACTCTTAACATTGAAGACCCCTAGAAGTTTTTGCTATTTACATTAGTTACATCTATCAGTATATATCGTATTAGAAATTCAAGCCAAGATCACTTTTAGATGTTAATTCATTTTTAATAACAATACTAAACCCATTAAGTACAACCTTCAGATGAAGCCTAAACTTTTAAGTTTCCAACATGCACATTAGTAACAGGCATAGTGTATACTTTAACACATATACGTTCCAATATATATTTAATACACATTGATTTTCCCCAGCATATAACCAGCAGAAGTCTATACTTTATTCGGAACTTCATCAAGAGCTCTTCACCATTTCTGAACATCATAAAGCCCACAGCAACACCACTTGTGGCCCCTGACCCACCAGGACCACACAGCCTCCTCTGCCTGCACTGGGTCATGCTGCCCCCAGAGGGGCTCCAGGTCAGGGCAACGGCTATTATATAACGGCTGTGCTCCAGCGCGCCCTGCGCTGCGGTCCTACCGAGCACTTGTGCTCACACACTTACCTGGTAAAGACAACTCTTTTCTTCTAAGAAGATTACACAGTACGACAAGGAATGTTGCCTCAGACAGCTGAACACTGTAACATCAGGCACACAGTTTCCAAACACAGAAACAATGACTATCCAAAGACACAAGCAAAACGTGCTCTGAGGAGGGCAGGGATGCAGAGAGGGGATTCTGTCACTGGCAGGCTTATGCGTTTCAAGGAAATCCACGGTGATATGAGCCGGAAAAAGTGGGAAATGACGGTTATACTTAGAAGAACAGCAAGCACCACTACAGCTAGGTTCTCTGCTTCTGAAGGTCTCTTGAAGCCAACTATAAAAAAAACTTTAAATACTTTATGAAAAATTGATTCATATGAAATTCACATTAAAAGTAACATGTCTAGTATGACTCAATTTCATAGTATCAAAAAAAGCCATATATTTTAAAAGCATAAGGCCAACTGTAACACATCATTAGAAAACGAAGTAATCAAATGTTCTAGTTAGTTAACAGATTAAATACTCACTAATGAAAAGAAATTTTTTAAAAAATCACAAACACTGTAAAGACAGCAATTAATACTGCTTTCTACATTATTCACTGAGGTAGAACAAATTAAACGGAAAAAGGCAAGCTACTAAAGACTTGTAAATTCTTCAGCACATAGTAGCATAATTTAGAATTATGAACACAATCACTGCCTGGCAACCCTAGCCATCCGGGACAGAACAAGAAAGCATCACCTTAGTGGATTCTATGAGATATTTTATTCTGAAAGGATCCCCTCTATGTCTCACAGGCAACCTAGTCACATTTTTTCCTATTTTTTTCCTTCTTTTTTGAGATATAATTGACCGACAGCACTGTATAAGTTTAAATTGTACAAAAGCCATTTACTCTTAATTTAGACACAATTCTAAATGGAGAGAAGGAGGGTGCAGAAGTTTGCTGAAGAGAAATGTTTCAACCCTCCCAGAGTCGGTGAAACTAAGCCAATCAAAGGAGCCGCAAATTTTTTTTTAAAAATGTATTAATTGAGAAACGATATCTTGAAATGAACGGTCTTCAAAGTCCAGCTGTGACAATGGAAACGGATGAATGTGTG